CCCCGGAACCCCGGCGGGGTCCCGAGGCCAAGGGTCGACAACCCTGGCCAAAACTAAGAGGAAGAGGTTAGAAAAGGGCCTTAACGGCCACCAGACACTTGGCATGCTAGAAAAAAGACAGAAAAGAAAAGAAAATGGGGGAGAATAAGACAAAAGAGTGAGAGGGAGTGAGTGGGTTCGCCGTCAGTAGGGACTGCCATAGGTAGGGACTGGCAGGTCCCTACTGTCCAAGAAAGGAGGAGAAAAAGAAAAGAAAAAAAAGGAAAAGAAAAGAGAAAAAAAACTTAACGGTAAAAAGCGGTCACTTAGGGAGATTCATCAGTGGCCTGATTCATTCTGGAAAATGGCGGTTACAAAGGACTTTGATTTTCTTTGATTTTYKCAGAGAAAATCAAAGAAAATCAAGGCCTCTTGCAACCGGAATAAAACGGAATGCATGCATGAGGACAAACACATGTTTTAGGTGCATCCGAAGCCAAAATCAATACCGGATGCACTTGGGAATTGGCCGTTTCTTTTTCTTTTGAGTAGGGGCTAGTTGTGGGGCATTGGGGCTAAGGAATTAAGCCTCATTGCACTATAAGGGGGAAAGAAAACACATGTTGTGGGGCATTGGGGCTAAGAAATTAAGTCCGAGTTGCAACAGACTATATGGGGGAAAGAAAACAGATGTTCTAAGTGCATCCGTAGCCAATATTGAGCCCAGATGCACTATAAAATTCAACGCTTCATTTTCTTTCAACATGGGGCAAGTTGTGGGGCTGTGGGTATGAAAAAAAACCATGACTGCAGTCCGAGAAATTACGGACTGCATGAGGATGCCAAGGCTAAGGGGAAATGGGCTACGGCAAACCCGGAAAGGCTAGAAAGGAGCAATTTCGGCAAAGAACAGGTAAAGACGGTAAACAGCAACTGTGAGATGAGATCTCACGGCCTAGAAAAATTGGCATACACATAGAAATGATGGGACCACAAGGGCAATGGGCCCCAAAAAAATCAAAATGGAACGCCGTCCGAAATGTTGTCGGGGACCAAATGGGTCCAAATAATAAAAAATTGAAAAAAACGGGACATGCGCTGGCGGGACCGCCGGCGGGACAAAGAAATGAAGCTAGTAGGAAAATGGCGGGGACTTGGGATGTCCCAAGGGAACCATAGGCAAACACAAGGAAAAATTGTGCAAGCGAGCGGCACAGTCGAGATCAAGGATCTAGACGGTGGAAAATATTAGCACCACTAGTGCAAACACTAGTGGGAGCAAGTGAGAGAGTCATGGGAGAAAGAAAAGTGAAATAAGGATGTTGGGAAGGCTGCCCAACAGTCCGGGATATCTCGGACTAGCAAGGCATAAGAAAATAGAGCCTTGAGAGACTCAACATGAGAAAAAGGCTGCCCTTAGAAAATCAGAACAAAAGGGGCTCAAAATTGGGCAGACGGGAGCAAAATGGAGCCCCCTAGGAGCATGGGGGTGCCATTATTGGAATCCGAGATGTAACGGCCATGTAACAGCCATGAACCTGGCCTTGAATGAGGCCCTAGGCCCTAGAAAGAGGGTGGACAACAGTTTGACACTTGTCACAACATAAAATAAAAGAAAAAGAAAGAAAAATGAGAGAAAAAGGAGGGAGAATGAGACAAAAGGGGAGAAAATAGTGGAGGAGAGTATGCCGGCCTATTGGGACCTGCACTGTAGGGACTGGCAGGTCCCAACTGTGACCTCATCCCTCCTAGAATGAAGGAGGGCAATCAGGATTGCAGAGATATGGCCCTTAGGGCCATATCTCAATAAAATCTGAATTAAAAATTGAAAATGAGAGAAAATGCAAAAAGGAAGTGCCCGGTTTTCTTTTGGGCCATGGATCTAAAATCAGATCTCATGGTAGAAAGAAACTAGCCGTTTTTTGTGGGCCAGCTCAAAATAGCTAGCTCCGGAATGAGGTGGCAGCCCAAAATGGAAAGAAACAAAAGAGGAAAAATGACAAAACACTGCATTTGGCCCAAAAGAAGAGTCAGATACACCAAAAATTGAAAAACTGCATTTAGGGGTTCAAAATTGAAGCAAGGGCTACTAAGGGATAGCTCGGATTATTGCTGGCTTTGGATCTCAGCCAGATCTAAGGCTGAAAATGTGCCGCCATATGAAAAAATGCTCCGGTCTACCTAAAAGAGGCCGAAACTTGAAAAAAGTCGAAAAAAAGACCCACAAGGCCTTTTTATTTCAATCATTGCTGCCCCTTGGGCATTAGGATCCTAGGGGATAACATTCGAGCAATGAAAAAGAGGTCGGGGTAAACCAAGAGGCAGTTCGAGTTGGTACCAACCACTTGGAGTGCATGCACTTGGCCAAAATGAGGCCCATGTACCTCCAAGAGGACCTAGTGAGGGAATTTTGCCTTGGGGGTACCACGGTTCACCTCAAGGCTCATGGGCTGGCCGGACTGCTGGTTTCAGCCTACATAAGTTAAGGATGCAGTCCGCCGCTCTCACATTTGCATTAGGAGTGCCCATGCTGCCCAAGTGGACCCACAGGAGCACATTTGCACTTGGAGTGAGAGGGGAGGAGCCCATGCTAATGGGCGAGCTTAGAGGAGACTAGGAGGTAGTGGAAAGGACTTAAGAGGATAGTGATGGTGGGAGAGACACTTGGAAGGTGATCCGCCATATCCCTCCTGAGTGTAGGAAAGGAGGAGACGCTAGAGTAGCCCCATTAGCCCTCCTAGAGGGGAGGACTCCATAGCCATAGCTGGGGGAGCTTGTCATAGCCTGAGAGAAAGCAAGGGAGGAGGAGAGAAGGGTTTGGAGAAGAAGGAAACCATAACCAAGAGACGATTGTGCAAGGAGAGGAATCTCCATCAAGAAGACACTAACACCAAGGAATCAACAAGGTGAGAGGAAGGAAGAGGCTTCTTCACCCTCATCTTCTTCTTCTTCTTCCTTTTCTTCTTCTTCTTCTTCTTCTTCTTCTTCCTCTTCTTCCCCCTCACCCCCTCCTTCTTCCTTCTCTTCTCTCCCCTCTTCATCTTCTCCTTTCTCCTCCTTACTTTCATTCTCTTTCCCTTCCTCCCCTTCTTCTCCATCTCTATCTTCCTCATCTCTCTCCCCTTCTATCCCATCTTCTCTTACTTCACCTTCTCTCTTCCATGGGTCACTCAAACTCTTCTCTTT